CTTCTTGAAACCCTCCTGAGCTATCTGAAACACTCCATCTCTCACCTTTCTACTCCTCATACGTACCTACCATCCATCGACGCCATCGAAGCAGCGACGCCGTCAACGCCATCGATTTTACATTTAAATAGACGACGGTTTTTTCAGAAAAAGTGTCGTCTTTACATTTAAATAGACGACGGTTTTTTCAGAAAAAGTGTCGTCTTTACATTTAAATAGACGACGGTTTTTTCAGAAAAAGTGTCGTCTTTACATTTAAATAGACGACGGTTTTTTCAGAAAAAGTGTCGTCTTTACATTTAAATAGACGACGGTTTTTTCAGAAAAAGTGTCGTCTTTACATTTAAATAGACGACGGTTTTTTCAGAAAAAGTGTCGTCTTTACATTTAAATAGACGACGGTTTTTTCAGAAAAAGTGTCGTCTTTACATTTAAATAGACGACGGTTTTTTCAGAAAAAGTGTCGTCTTTACATTTAAATAGACGACGGTTTTTTCAGAAAAAGTGTCGTCTTTACATTTAAATAGACGACGGTTTTTTCAGAAAAAGTGTCGTCTTTACATTTAAATAGACGACGGTTTTTTCAGAAAAAGTGTCGTCTTTACATTTAAATAGACGACGGTTTTTTCAGAAAAAGTGTCGTCTTTACATTTAAATAGACGACGGTTTTTTCAGAAAAAGTGTCGTCTTTACATTTAAATAGACGACGGTTTTTTCAGAAAAAGTGTCGTCTTTACATTTAAATAGACGACGGTTTTTTCAGAAAAAGTGTCGTCTTTACATTTAAATAGACGACGGTTTTTTCAGAAAAAGTGTCGTCTTTACATTTAAATAGACGACGGTTTTTTCAGAAAAAGTGTCGTCTTTACATGTAATAGACGACGGTTCTTTTAAAAACCGTCGTTTTTACATATAATAGACGACGGTGAATTACCGTCGTAGTTTGACTTTCAAAAAGACGACTGTCGATTTAACGACGGTTTGAAAAAGAAAAAGACGACGGCGTTTCCCCGTCGTCTATTTCAATTTTTGTAGTAGTGGGCTCACCCCATCAAATACCAAATGTCACTCCACCCTCACTAGTAAGGGTATGACATGTCATCTGATCATCAGGACCAGCACCTTGTCCCTCAGATAAATCCATGTTTTCACCTTGGCCCACATCAACACCAATAGAAGCATCAACAGCCACCGCATCATCGTCAGACTCAGAACTGGCCTCAGAATTAACATCTTCTTCCCTTATATTCAGGGGCTGATGACCAAAAATATACACACCATTCTCTATGCTTGCATCATGGTTCCCCACCCAGCTATCAATTTTCTTACTAACCAACCCAGGCTGCCCAATTTCCTTCCCACTAAACTGAGCGACACCAGACGCATCAGCAGCATCAAAGGAAGTTCCAAAAGGCTTCCTAGGTATCTTATCCTTTGCAGCCAAAAAAGACTTGCTGGCCCCAACTTTATTAGAAATATCATTCAACACCTGCCTAGAAGTGTCCTTAGCTAACTTAGACTTAGTCCAAATCTTGCTGCCCTTGGGGACAACATTCTCCATAGCTTTACCCGTCTTAGAAGACAAAGAAGGCTCCGATCCCATTCTATTCACTTCTCTTCCAAAATCCTCACCAACTTGTCTCAAGGCATCAAATCTGGAACCCTTAGAAGTCCCACCAGCATTCTTACCCCCTCCATCTTTAAAATTATTCTTATATTTCCTTCCAGGCTGAACATTCATCCAAGGGCCTCTTAGCCCAGACTCCTAATCTTGCAGCTTATTAACCCCGTCCCCAGAATCAGTGTTCATGGCCATGCTCCCCTTTTCGATAGGCACCTCAGGAGTTATCTCAGGTTGAACCTCACCCCTCAGAGGACACACTTCCTTCTTATGACCATATTTACCACACATATAACATATTTCTGGTAGGCCTTCATACTCTATATTGTACCAATGTTGATTAATTTGAACAAAAGCCTTTAAAGGCTTAGTTAGATCAAGCTCCACACACAAACGAGCAAATTTACCTCGATTCTGAGAAGTTGTTAGAGAATCTATTTTCAATAGCTTCCCCACTAAATTTCCAATACACTTCAAAGACCACACATCAAAACATTCAAGCTGGATAGCAGCCACCCTTATCCAAGCTGCCATGCGTGTGATATGTGCTAGAGCAGGACAGAAACCAGGTCTCCATTTCTGCATAACCAAATATTGTCCCGCAATAATCCAGGGACCACCAGTCAGCACAAAATTCAGATCCTCCTCCAAATCAAATTTCACCACAAAGTAATCGTTAACAAGATGAATCAACTTCCAATCCCCCTTCAGGCTCCACTTTTGCTGTAACCGATCATGAATGTAATTGTAAGCATGCGAACGACCTAGCAATTTTATGATCAGAGCATGCTTCCAAGGCTGGGAGAGACGATCCATAGCACGATCGGAAAACTGAATGCTCGGCCCCTTCTCACCTCGAGAAATAACCACGTCTTCATCATCATTAAGATCCTCATGAATATCACTAAGGCAACACACATCAATACCCACATTCTTTACTAGATTCACCTTACCCATAAGTTTATCTTTAAAACTTCCAGACCCAAACTCAGATTGTGCCCCAATGACATTTCCAGAGCCAAAATCAGATTGAGCCCCATCTATGAGATTTCCAGAACCAAACCCAGATCGAGCCCCTTCCTTGAAATTTCCAAATCCAAACTCAGATCTAGCCCCCAAAACAGAATCAGCAGTCTGCCCTTGCTTAAGAAACGGAATAGAACTGGACCTCTGTTCCAATTCGCACTCAGAATTGAAATCCTCTGATGCTCTCACTCTCTTAGTGAAGCGATGGTGCTTCATATAGACCCCAGGTGAACCCTCCTCCATGATCAGAGAAAGCAACTCACAGAAACAAACAGAAACAAAATGGAGGAACGAACCTGGAAACCGCCGCGAACAGCAGCCTCCAGAGAGCAGCAAAAGCTTCCGAAAACCAGCAAATATCGCCGCGCGTGAAGCGCGTTCTTGCTATAAGATATGTCACCTTAATCTTTCATGATGATATAAAATGTTGAATAATTGATATCTCGAAAAATTGATCGCGTACATTTTCACCCCAATACAAAGTGTTATTAACTTTTTTTGGGTGGCCGCGCGGAAGCCAAGCCTGGATGCCAAGCTTCCAATCCGACCCTAATATTTCAATACTGGGCCAGCTCAATGATGACCCATAATCCATGTGAGTTTCATCTATGTTTTTGCAATATTTTCAAATTCATTTATTTTTGGGCTTAATATTTTATTTTCAAATAGCAATCGGGGGTGTTAGTTGGATTGCCCAGGTTTTTAGGTCCCGGAATCAAGTCTCCATGGTATCCGTATATGTGAATTTAACTTATCCTCCTAACTTTTGCTGAAAAAGAAAAACCATTTATTTTCAATTTCATTTATTTAATAACAAAACTATGTGCTAACCTTCTTCACGTGTCTACTTAATAGGGTAACGGCCGCTAAAAGTAAAATCAAATTTAGGTTCATGAAATAGTTAGTTAGAAGTAGTTATCTCCTAATAATACTGCTAAAAATGACTAGGACTACCACATTGAATGAGCCAAAAAAATAAAAGGGGTTAATACTAATAATGCAGTGCATGCATCAATATATTGTACTTGCGCGGAAGATTCAAAGTCGATTATATGAAAAAGCTATTAGCTAAGGTTGTATCTAACCCCGTTAGTCCCTCTGTGCGTCCACCGCTCGTTTATAGTTACTATTTTAGATTTGTTATTATCATCACCAATCACACAATATATGCACAAATTTGAACGTGAACATGGAGCGTAGAAATTGAAACCCAAATAACTATATGTAGCAAAATAATAAATAAGATATGGCAGTGAGGCAAGAAGATATAGGAATTGTGGGTGGCGCCTACGAATTTAAAGCGTCGTTGGCAATGTTGTGAGAGCAGCAGGCACCAAACGTGAACATGGAGCTTGCAGCATGTAATGTAAGTTGGTCTAATAAAATTATTAAGCTGGCTGTTTCGAATTATTGAGACTCTCTCTGCCCTCCCTCACAACAATTTTGGACAGCTAAGCTAAATGAATGAATGAGTGATTTATTTGTAATTGTGACCCCATTTTGATTTAGGGGAATCGTATCTTCATGTTTATGCATGCTTAATTTTGCTTACTGCCTAATCAGAAAGACTCTGGAACCAAATTACACGTCAAATAAATCATTAATGCCACATGTCTTGGCTCAAAGTTGGGTCCTAAATTCAATTGAGTTAAGAGGGCAAAGACTTTCCGGGATAATAATTGCATGGATTGGATTAGATAATGCATGATCGAATACAGCTTTCAGCCTTTGGGTACCAAATTAATATACGTTTTAAGCCATCATTAATTTGCACATAATAAGTTAACAAAGTCAACTGATTCTGACCTCGTGTTACAAAAACAAACAAGTATCTGGTTCCGGTGTTATTTGCTCTGGACATGCATGGGGATCTGTGAAGAGATGCTGAGCTGAGCTGAGCAGTGGTTTCCAAACGAGGCAACTTCTTTTGATCCGAGGCTTCCATTCAATATATAAAAACTGCGAGTCTAGGAGGGGTTTCAGATTATTATTAATTTTATTTAATTACCAAGGCGTGGTTAACACTTGAAATTAAGAGCTGACTTATAACTTTGGATTGTATAATTCAATTTCAGTCTTTACATATGTGTCAAACTGTAATTTGTAGAAAGTAAGAAACAATGTCCAACGCATAATAAGGAAATGATATTGGGAGTGTGATTTCCCAAGTGGAGCAACACAGGAATGGCAATTCTAATATCTCTCTTTTTTTCTTCTTGTGAAGAGAGAAATCTTTACGATTCACTCTATCATCATGTAAAAACTTTGGGACAAATCTCTACCCAAACTCAAGCTTTAAATATTGGATGTTCAAACCACAAAAGGAGGAGACTCATAAATCTTTCATTTGACATGCATGGTAATATTCAGAGTCGATATATTTTTCTAGTACAAGCGATGGTCTAACTTAAAAGGGATGAAGATTTCTCTTTCACACACACACATAGCTAAGATGTTTTAGGGTTTTGAATTTGAAACCTCTTATTAGCAAATTAAGACCCTTTTTCAGTAAACTAGATCTCATTGGTCACAGTCAATTATTATATAATATTAATTATCCGGATGTCCGCACGTTATTATCGTGCGGATCCTATTGTAAACAGGCAGGAAAACAGAGAGGGGTAGTACAAAATACACTGCGTCCGCACGATAATAACGTCCGGATGTCCTCAACATTATGCTCTCATATATATATATATATATATACTGCCGACACTATAGCATATTCCTATAACTCATCTATCAATATATATGGGTGAGGAAATAAGGAAAATGTAAGGAAACTTAAAATTATATTTGGCTTCGAAATATTTCTTCCACCTACATCCGATTATCATTTCTCCCCCGTTCTTCATCTCTCTAGGTCTATCCTTAGAGCATCTACAAATGATATAGGCAAAATTATACTATACAGACTGATGTGACATGTTGCCTATTCACTTACTTTTTGGAAAAATACTGATCACTCCAATGAACTAGGCAAATGAAACTAGATAATGCGATATTATAATATTTATTTGGAGTAGTCGGTAGGTAGAAATTTTATTACCACAAAAAACAAAAGAAAGTTGTATTTTATAATAATAAAAATGTGTGAGGCGCTATATACCTATTCATTTGAACAGGTATAATGTAGCAAAGTAAATAAAATTTGCCTACTATTTTACCTATTTCATTGGAGATGCTCGAAAAAACAAAAACTAAAAATTTCAAGAAAGAAACCTGCCTTGAGATTTTATAGTTATTTTGGTGTGCATTAACATTATATTCATTATTTTATACCTACAAAAAGGTATTGGGTTGGCTAAATTAAAGAAGGGGGAGCCTACTTGACACACCAGTTGGAAGAGAAGAGAACAATAGATGTACGAAGCAGGTTTAAATTTGAATGAAGGAGTGAATATGGGCATCTCAACCAAATCTGACAGATTACAACTGGAGTGTAACAGGACAGGTTTCTGAATTGGATAGAGCTGGACACAACCCCCGAAAAAGGCTATTACTAGTTTTGTTTCAAGGAACCAACTGAAGATTATTTCATCACACATCACATCGCATCACAAATTCACAACACATATCTCATAGGCATTAGGCAACACGTCCTTTCTCTGTCAAAAGTTCAAAACTAAGTCTAAGTCTGCATTATTATTTGATATTAAGTAACACAACATTATGTAGATTGAGGGGATTCATGTCATGTGCTCAGGTTACAACTGTTGCTAGACCATCCACATGTTGTTGTTCATATTCATGCCCTCATGTGCACCCCCAATCCAATCCAATCCAATCCCATCATACCCTACCCTCCCTCATCTCCTTCTTCCATCCTTTTGTTTTGTTCCTCGTCGGTTACAAATTAACGAAAAGCTACTACGATCAGTTGTTTATGCTTATAAGCAGTTTCTTAAATTACGTTCAGTTATTTACTAACATCCATCTATGCGCATAGCACACCATATGAAAATTTCTCACTCTAACCAACACACCACGCATGGTCCATTTCCAATGCTGAGTTTGCTAATTTGTGAACCAAGTAATCCTAAACTAATAAATAAATAAACCAAGAAAACTGTTTATTTATAGGGGCTGTTTTC